GCATCTTCAACTGTCTTGTTTAAATAGAAACAAGGAGGATTCAGCTTAAATGTTAAGAAAACCTTTCAGTGTTAGGATAGGAAAACACCAGTGGATGGTTCGTGAGCTCTGCAGCATTAGCAGTCATGAAAAGCAGGCGAACTGTATGTCTGCTGGCAGTGATCTCGGTATTGCTCATCGTGTGGGGACAAGGGAACACCTAAATGATCCCATTGCTTTCACAGCCTAAGGCTCTGCCAGAGTGGCTTGAAAGCAGCAGTAGCTTGTACTGCAGGCTCTCTGCAAGCTCCCCTGCAATGCAGCCTTCTGAACTTTTAGGTTCAGAAGTCAGCTCTGAACGAATAAGCATCCGTCAGCCGATGCTCGCTTTACAAAGCAGCGCTGGAGGAAGAGTATTCACTAATGGCTGTAAGACATGGCAAACATCCTCCTAAACGCGTTGTTGTGGCAAGAGTTTATTAGCTCTTGCTGAGATACTGTCAGGAGCTGTGTTGGATATGGCTTCTCACATCTTTTACTGCCGGTAGACGCCTGAAGAGAGGTCCTGCCCCTTCTTAAGTTGTTCCTTTAACTGCTGCTAACTCTCCACAGTCATGATTTCCCCCCTAGTGTTTAGAGTCAGCTAAATTACAGTGGAGCACGAGTTTGAAAACCCTCTTCTTTATTAAAAAATACTTTTATAACTGCTACAAAAATCACTTCAGTTGCCCTAAAACACAATAGGTTTCCTGAAGGCAGCAGGTCCGATTAATATGCTAGATACACATTCATTTGTGAGCCAGGGGTTCCTGACATTCAGCTTCACAAGGAAGATATAAGGTAAAATAGCTCAGTTAAATGCTGACATGTTGTACTCTTACGTGGGTTTTCCTACCAGAGGATCAAACTGTAATTAGAATTATACCAGTGTTGTTTCAGGGTTTTCCTCAACTGCTGCAGGACATTTATCTTCTGGGGAACAGACCTGAAAATGGTCCTTACCAAACTCACCCTCGCAGCCTTCATGCGCAAACCAGGATGATGGCTTTGTGCTCAACTTAAACCAGAAGATGTTTTTAGCCTGACCATTTTCAAATGGGAAGATTAACTCTGGATGAGGTGCAAAACGCACCGAACCTGACCTACATCCAGCCTTATCCTTTGCAGAAGTCTTGAAAAGGAGGTGTCTTGATGCAATAAGTCTCTGTGAAAGGAACTCCTTTAATACTGAGGAAATATAATTGGAAGACTAAACTTCAGAGAAGACCCAAATAGCTTCATAGGAAAAGTAAGTTAAGTATGCAGACAACTGCCAAGAAGGAAGGAGGATGCAGTGATGGAGCTGTGTGCACATGGGGCTAGGTAAATGAAGATCTGTTGTTAGATGGCAGCATGGGTGGGTATAAGTGGCAAAAGGGTATAAATCTCAGCTGAAGGTGGTATAGAATCATAGGAAGGACCTTAAGGTCATCCAGTTCCAACCCCCTGCCACGGGCAGGGACACCTCAAACTAGACCAGGTTGCTCCAAGCCCCTGTATCCAACCTGGCCTTGAACACTGCCAGGGATGGGGCAGCCACAGCTTCTCTGGGCACCCTGTGCCAGCGCCTCAGCACCCTCACAGGGAAGAGCTTCTGCCTAAGAACTCATCTCAATCTTTCCCCTCTCAGGTTAAAGCCATTCCCCTTGTCCTTATATCCAGTCTGAACTTCCCCTGTTTCAGTTTGAGCCCCATACCCCTTGTCCTGTCACTACAGTGATACACCTCGTGTACTGGTGGTCCCTGATATAAGATGGACATGGAGCTGTTGGAGCAAGTCCAGAGGAGGCCACGAGGATGCTCAGGGGCTGGAGCACCTCCTGTGTGAAGACAGGCTGAGAACATTGGGGCTGTTCAGCCTGGAGAAGAGAAGCTGCGTGGAAACCTCAGAGCAGCTTCCAGTGTCTGAAGGGGGCTACAAGGATGCTGGAGAGGGACTCTTCATCAGGGACTGTAGGGATAGGACAAGGGGTGATGGGTTCAAACTGAAACAGGGCAAGTTCAGGTTAGATCTAAGGAAGAAGTTTAAAAGCCCAAATTGGGGCAGTGAATTTCTGTGTGAATGGTCGAGGGGATGCGTGTTTTTAGGAAATGCCTTACATAGCACCATCCTTTTGGTTGAGCTCTGAGTAATGGACATAGGCTGCAGTGCAATTATCAGATCAGGTTCATTTCTGCTGGCGCAGGATACTCATGGTTTCAGTGTGAGGGACAGGAAGAACTGCTTTGTTCTGCTTGTGGCTGAACTTTCTCAATAGATATATACATATAAAGTCTGATTTTCAGGAAGCTGAGCCTCGGTAGGATATTCACGTCTGCGGTGTTTGTGTGCTATAGTAACGATTCATCCCGAAGGGAATGAAGGTGAAGTTGCATTCTTGAGCTGGTTTGATTTCACTGGGACTGAAAGGAACTGAAATGCTTTAATTCAGCAATTTGCAACAAGCAGTATGTTACAAGCTCTAAAACATCAGCCCAAGGGAAAAGGCAAATATTGCTACTGGCAGAGAAAGAGTATTTCAGGACGCTGAGTTTGAAGCAGTTTTACTCTGAAACTAGTAAATAAGTGATAGGCTAAATCTTACCTGTTTCTCTGGGCACGAGGCTGAGGTCTCTTCTCTCCATTGGGAAATGAATTAAGAGCTTGGAGCCTTATAGTGTGTGTGAGGCCAGGACAGGGAGAGAGCCTGCGTTGGGGTCCCGTGGCAGTGCCTGAGACAGCATCGCATGGATTAGCTGGAGTTTCACAACCCCTGATGCAGAACATGGCACCAGTGCAGCAAGAGCGTGATGGAGGAGGTCATCCTGCAGCACTCATCACCTACCTGGGGAGGGGGAAACATCGTGGTTAACACTGAACTGCAGCATGCCTCTGCTTCCAGCCCAGCAGCGTGGCAAAGCAGGTCTGCTTTGGAGAGGTCCTGGCCACCAGTGTCCCAACTCTGCCATAGTACAACCCTTATGCCCCTTCTCCTGGCTCCCAACCCCTCCATCTCTTTGCTCACAGCTGAGCCCCCCGGGAAGTTCAAGGAGCCTTGAGGATGCTTTGAAGGGGTGAAAACTAGAGCACTGATGTTGCTTTTCCACACTTGTAATACTCTGTTCGGTTTGATGTGGTTGTGTGTTGCGTTTTGGAGTCTCCCACAGAGCAGCAGTTCTGAGCTGTGGATGGATAGCTCTGTATTTCAGAGGTGGGGTGGTTTGGCTTTTTAAGTTGTCATTACTTCACTTAAAGAACAGTCACATCCACAAAAGTAGAAAGGTCCAGGAATTGTGAGGCGGCTCCTGTCCGGTGTGAGTCTGCTCAACACAGACCTCAAGGGACCTGGGGCTGGATGTTACACCAGGGCATAGGCTGCAGGAGGGGGTCTCAGCAGAGCACAGCAGAGGGGGAGAATCCCCTCCCTCGACTGCTGCTCACGCTCTGAAGGTGCAGCCCAGCAAGAACACTTATTCAAGTGTTATTGTCACTAACCCACAAGTGGTTGCCTACCTTGCACACTTTGGAGTAAGGCAGGATCATAAAATCACGGTGTTCCACTCTGCCAAAAGCACATCAAAATGCAACTCAGCTGCACTGCAATGCGATATAACATAAATAATGCCCATAGGGATTAAGACTGTTTAGCAATAAAGACATAGCAGTCTTTATGGCACAGCAAAAGAAGAGGCTCCAACCGTTTCTGCTTCTTCAGAATGCATACAGCTTGAAGTGTGAACTCTCTTTTCACAGAGGGGACTTGCACACTATTAGAGGCTCAAAAGCTTTAGAGAAAGGGGCATTGTAATCTGCTGTAAAACGTGTGCAGGACCAAAGCACAGATTTGGAGCTGTTGGTAGCTCTCCAACCCATAGGAGAGAAGCATAAGATGATTCCATTACTCACAAAGTGTTAATCCTGCAGCAATGAGGAAATTAAGACAAAAATACCAATCCTGATGTTTACACCAGATTAACTAGTACAGAGGCAAATCTCTTCTTTCATTGATGTGTCATCTCTTCTCCTTTTGACTCTTCCAAAGTTCGCATGTGGAAAATACCATTACAGATACAAAGCCCGACTCTAAAGTTGTGTTACTGCAAAGCACTCTCCCCTCATAGAGGTCAGTGCTGCTTGTTTTCAGTTTTTACAGAAACAGTACTGATCAGACCCCCAAAAAACCATGGTAACATGGGGAAAGAGCCTTGCAGTGGGCCCCATCTCTTTGTTTTTCCTAAGTTGCCAGGTCAGCATTCATAACTCATACAGTGTGTGCAGTGAGATAGGTGACCTTTTGGTAGTGTTGCCTGGCAATGGTGCAGGTTCCCTCCATCCATTGCCACTTGGAAAAGGATGAAGAGCTTGAGAGCATCTCATGGCTTTATAAAAGTATAGGAGCTCCAGAGACGAATCCATTGGGATGAATTATCGACATCAATGATGCTAAATGCTGAAAGTGAGAAACCAAGCTGCAGTTGTGAGTCCTTCCCTCCAAAGTAGGTTTTCCACCTGCTGTTCTTTGCTCATTCTGCTTTGAGGTCCTTTAATTATGCTTTGTCTCCTCTCTTGGTTTCACCATGAATGCACCACTGCGTTCATGGGTTAATGTTCTGACATTATGTGTAAATCGGGGTAGATAAAGGCTGGTTCTAAAACCTCCCTGTGCTGTTCCAAGGCTTGGTGGTGGTTGGTGTTGGTGTTGTTCCAGGCTGTAGTATTGGCATTATAGCGTAAAAGGGGAGAGCGCCTCTTCTGATAGCAGCCAAACCAAATAAAACCGTGAGTAACACAAATCAGAGATTTGCTCATGATTGACCTCTTTTTTCCTCTTGCCTCAGTATAACAGATGCCTGAAAAGTATAAATAGTAAAGAAGTATTCAAAAATGTATATGCTTATGCTTTGAGGCCTAAAAGATCCCTTTTAACATAGAAGGACGGTGACTGTTGCTGTTTATTTGTTATAGAATCATTCCAGATATGTCCTTTATTTTTCTGGTTTAGGCTCCTAAGGACCCAGTCTCTGGATTGGTACTACAATAATGTCAAAAGCCGCTTCAAGTGTTTTGGAAGTGCCAAAGTCCTGAAGAACTTATACAAGAAGCATAGACTGGAGAGCGGAGGCTGTCCTGATGTAATAGGTAAGATTTCTTGCTATAGAATCATAGAATCCCAGACTGGTTTGGGTTGGAAGGGACCTTAAAGCTCATCCAGTTCCAATCTCCTGCCACGGGCAGGGACACCTCACACAGGTTGCTCCAAGCTGCTGTATCCAACCTGGCCTTGAACACTGCCAGGGATGGGGCAGCCACAGCTTCTCTGGGCACCCTGTGCCAGCGCCTCGGCACCCTCACAGGGAAGAACTTCTGCCTAAGAGCTCATCTCAATCACCCTTTGTCAGTTTAAAGCCGTTCCCCCTCAGCTTGTCTACTTTAACACACAAGCTGAGACAGTGCAAAATCTGAGAGAAATTCAAAAGAGATCTTTTTAAGGGTTTTTCTTTAAATCAAGTACCTCAGTGAAGAGAAAAAAGAGGTGAAGTGTCTGGAGATCTATTTCTGAATTCAAAGGATGTTTAATCATAATTATGCCACTGATACGGGAGAACTGTTATCTTCAGTCTGTGAAGTAAATTGCAGTTTATATGCTAGCCCTTGTTCCAAAATTTATCACAGTTCTGAGTAGTCTGTGAATGAGAAAGTAATTTTGCATCCAGCGTTTGGCCTTAGAGCACATTTGAAGCGGGATTTGGTTAAATGGGATACATTCAGTATCCAAGTTGACCAAAACTTCAGATTGTCCTCAGAGTTTTGCATGCTTAAGAGTCTGAAACTGGCCACATCTTATTATTGTACTGATGTTTGTCAAGGGGTCAAAGATGCTGATGAAGTATCGGTGTCACCCTTTTAGATGAAGAGACACAGCTCTCCCTTAACTCTGCTGTTACAATGTCTTGCCCATAAAAGTAATTGGAGATATGAAATGGGCTAAAACAAGTGGAGTTTGGCTTCTAGGAGGAAACAACCCATGCATTCAGTTCTGATTTGTTAGTCTTAGCTTTCTCTGTATCAAATCCGTATTTCTAGGGAGGATTCCTTAACAGTTGAGACCAAGTATGTCCAAAAGGCAAGGAAACCCGTGCCAGTGAGGGCACTTGTGGCACATGGAATTAAAAGCTGTGAGGATGGATCCTTCAGAATGTTAATATCATGTGTTGCCTGTACTTAAGCTGCAGTGTCACTGAGTTTGTCCTGGAATGGAAGTGTGAGCAATGCAGTGATGAGTTGCAGTGGCATGTGCACTCTCTGCAAGACCTTTCTAAGGCAGGTCTTTGAGTCTAAATGTCATTGCTAACTTGCTTCTCCTCTCCGTGTGAGGGTTAGGTAAACCTTTTGTTCCCTTTGAAGATAAATACTAGCATATGTGTCTAGGGATTGGCTTATTTATACAGCGTTGCCCTTTAAAATGTAGAATCTATTTCAACCCCAAATGTCATATTAAAGGCAAATTCCCTGTACTTAACTTCTGCTGTGCTTTATACCTGGTAGCTTCTTCCTCTCTTTTTCACTGTACAAGTAGTTTTCTCCATCCAAAAGGAGAGGTCTTCCATATAAAAGCAGTCATGGCCTGTACAAAAGCTGCTGCAGTCATGGTTTATCCAAGAAGTTGGAGGAATTTCTGCCTATCCCTCTTTGTGTGCAGTGCCACCGTATCCTGAGTGAATATTCTGGCCTAATTCTATTCTAACTCTATTTTCTAATCCTAATGCCTCAGCTGTTCAAGGGTATTTCTTATAGTAATTCACAGTTCTGTCTTCTTTTGGAGCAGAAGGAGGGTTTCTTGAAGGCAGCTTTGAAAATGAAGGAAGCATTTGTGGCAGTGACTCTACATTCTACCGACAGACAGAAGGTATGCTGCTTAGTCAACTCCAGCATTCACCACAATACTAAAAAGCCTTTGTGTAACACACTGGGGTATTACAACCAATGCTAGTTTGATTTTCTCAGCGTTCAGGTTTTGTTACTTCTCTCCTGTTTCCTTTCGTGTGCTCATGCATTTTCATCTGTTCTGTTGGTGTTCATAGGAAGTTTAGAGATTTTCTTCCTGTGATTCCCTCTGAACCGTTTTGCTGGGTTCTAAAAGAAGGAACATAAAAATCCCATGGGTTTTTTGTATTTCATATTTACATCTCAGAAGTAACGTAGAGATTGAGACCGATTTCTCTGCCTTCCGGTGTTTGTTTTCCTGTGCAGAATTATGGATTGAGGAAATGAACTTTGTCATGAACAACCTCAGATTTGAATTTCTCTCCAGAATATGAGTCTGAATTCTGGAGCTCATCATGCAAAATGTGGCTGTGTAAAGAACATGGTGTTTTTATCTGATTCTTCACCTAGGACACAGCATGATGGATACCCTTGCTGTGGCCTTACGTGTTGCAGAGGAAGCAGTGGAAGAAGCTATTTCGAAGGCAGAGACCTACAGTGACAGCCTGGTAACATTTAGAATCATAGAATAGTTAGGGTTGGAAAGGACTTTAAGATCATCTAGTTCCAACCCCCCTGCCACGGGCAGGGGCATTTACCAAATATGAAATGTAGTAATTAAAATAGAACAATTATGTTTCTCTTAATTTGGGTAGTGGTACAAAAACAACTGGATACAAAAGAAAACATGAGGAAGCGGTGATTATCTCATGCCATATCTAAAGAGCTGGGTGTGAGTTTCATGGCCTTGTACCCAAGATGCATGTTGCAGTTCAAAGGTGGCATGCGGTGTAAGAACCTGTCATTTCTTTCACCATGCCAGTAAGGGCATTTTACCCATTTCCTGATCTGTACCATTTCTGTGGAAAGGCTGTTTTTCTGTGATTTTAGCCACAACAGATAACCGTTTTCATGCAGGACAAGCAGAATGAGGCTTGTTACTTGCAGGAACACAAGGAGGACCTCATAGAAGAGCTGGCCACAACCATCGTGCAGAAGGTATGGCATGCAGTTTCTTCCCTACCTTGTTTAATAGCCAAAGCACAATCCTTTAGTCTGGTGAGCTTTAACTCTGCGAACAGCAAAAAGGATGACACCAGTGTAGAGAGGGGAGTAAATGACAAGTCGCAACTTCAATCATCACAGTATAGGCTTAATCAGCTACATCAGACAGAAAAAAGCTTAATCCAGTGCCTAAGATGTTGGCCTACACCCTCAGAGCTGAGAGGTACCACTTCCTCAGATCTCTGGTATCTTTTCTTGCAAGAGCAGGCTCCTGCTCCGTGGAATTTTACATCTGTACTTCAATTCCCAAGAGGGATGAAGTTTTCCAATGTAGGGGAGTATGGCTCCTGACCATACCATCTACTGAGCTCTGCATCTGCAACACTTGCAAAGAAAACATTGATCATGAAAACAGAGCTCTGGTAATGATGCTGGGAGAGCCACCCAAACAATCACAGAACCCTGTGTCTGTTTGTGTGGCTTTCTCTGGAAAGCTCATTCTTCTCCCTGTGAAGCTTGCAGTTGACACTGATGCAGCACAGAAATGGGGGCTAGTGGGAACAAATATCCCTTGAGTTTGGCTGGACAGTTTGGAGCAAGGAGGGACAAGTATGAAGAAGGTGCTCCTGAGCTCCCGTGGTCAGTAAAGTAACCACTCTGTTGGTCTCCCTCCATGCAAACTAAGCTAATTGCCACATCTGCTTATGGGATGTGGCATTTAACAATGGATGGATCCCATATCAGAAGATGAATTTCTTGTTTATTAGGCTTTAAAGTAAAACCAGAAGAGCAGCAGCAGCTCAATGGGAAATGATCTGCTTTCTTTTTAATAGGGATATTAGAAGCTTAATTCTGCTTATCAAGTCTTTGATAGTCCAGAGCCTATCTCAGCCAAGCTAGAATTGCTACCGCTTTAGTCAAAAGCTGCCTAACAAGATATTCTGTGCCACAGAGCAATATTCTGTGGGTATTTTAGACTGGAGTCAGTAAGGTTGCAGAAGTGAAGTGTGGCAGGATGTGCTCTGTCAGTGTAGGGAGACAGGCAGCTTGTGCGATCTCTCTCTCTTAAGGCAATGTAGATTTTCAGAAGCAAAAATAGTGCCAAGATACCCAAGACCTCTTCAGTTTCAGCAGAATCCCATCTAGATGTCATGGGAACCTTTGAAATCCCCCTCACATCTGGTGCTTTATGTTTCTTTGCAAGGATTGCTGTCTGAGAAAAGATGTGACACTTAGATGCTGAAAGTGTTACTGTAGGAACAGGTTTCCACCTTCGTCTAATTCACCTCTGATGTTTCTGCAGGCATCGATCATGGTTTATTGTGTCAGTGCTTATGTGCTGACAAGCAGTATGGCTTCAGATAAGAAGGAATGCATGCAAAGTGCCAGAATCATCTTTGCATGAACTGGAGTAAAAGCAAAGGGAAACTCAAATGCTCTTAGGCAGTTTGCCATGAGACGGCATTGATGGTTTTTTCTCCGTACGGCTCAGAGTATTTCCCAAACACCCTTTTCTTTTCTCCCTTGCCCCCTACTTTACAGATTATAAAGAAGCAGAAAAGCAAAACTGAGCAGGCTGAAGCTGACTTTGAATGGCCACCATCCAGGAGCAGTGGCCTGGCATCGGTTGCTGTCTCGGATCAGAGCATGCTGACTTTTCCAGGGAGCCGCAGGGGGTCCTACACGTTATGGGTGAGTGATGTATTGATGCTTTCTGCGGCACAAGACTGCAAGATTAAACTCATGGCTAAGTGCACTTACTGCCTGCAATGATGCTTAGATAGTTTGAATCAGAGACTCATAGAATGGTTTGGGTTGGAAAGGACCTTGAGATCATCCAGTTCCAACCCCCTGCCATGGGCAGGGGCACCTCACACTAGACCAGGTTGCTTCAGGCCCCTGTGTCCAACCTGGCCTTGAACACTGCCAGGGATGGAGCAGCCACAGCTTCTCTGGGCACCCTGTGCCAGCGCCTCAGCACCCTCACAGGGCAGAACTTCTGCCTTAGATCCAACCTGAACTTCCCCTGTTTCAGTCTGAACCCATCACCCCTTGTCCTGTCCCTACAGTCCGTGATGAAGAGCCCCTCTCTGACATCCTCAGCATCCTTGTTCTTGCAGAGAACGAGCATTAAACCCGTGTCCAGACAAATTGTGGTTCAGTTGCATTCTTTCCTAGCATGTAATTGGCCATGGAAGATCAGCACAGACTTTGTGTTGTATTGGCGAGTGTGTTGGGGAGGGCTATGTTTGTGATACGAGCAATCTCACTGCTTGATTTGAATGCTAACAGCACTCAATGCCTTGGTGTTTCTTCCTTCAAACAGTTTTTATGCTCACTTAGCTTTTATCTGGATTTTTGCTAAGTGCTATATTTTCTTTTGTGCAGTATTAGATTTCTGTAATGTTTCTTTTTCTCCTTTGCCATCTTAAAGAAAACAACCATCAGCAACAAAAAGTAAAACCAACTGTAGAGCACTATTTATGTCTTACACTGAAGAGTGTTTCCTCTTTCTTTCACTTAACTTCTCAGCACAATGCCTTTAGCTCCTGCTATAAAGCTGAAGAAAATCTGACAAGTTGCATTAGGAACATTTTAAGAAGAACAAGCTATAGGCTTGGATAAGCCGCTTCATAGTAGGAGAGGGAGAGCAGTCACAGATGAGTTCCAGTGCATTTTGATACAGTGGTTTAAGCTGCTGCTCCCAGTAACCACTTCTCTCCCACTGAGCAGAACCACCAGAGCTGAATGTGTGCTTTAGCTTCCAGCTAAGTTTGCTAGCATAGACTGCAGTGAAAATAGATTGATGCCAGAATCTAAGACTGGGGGCCAGAATGGCTGAGATACAGTCTCACATTCTTGTCCCCACCTGTTTCCAGATGGAAGGAGTAATGCCTTTAAGTTGCTGCTGTTAACCAAGTTGGTCCTTGTTAACAAGTCAGGGTGAGCATGGTTAAGTGCTTTGCTCTGTAGCTCCTAGGCAATTTACTTGTGGAATAAGACTCAGAAGAGGGAGAGTTCATTTGCTGTGTGACTCAGCCGAGTTTTCTTTCTGCAGTGTAAGGACAGGACCTGGGGGAGCACGCTGCTCAGATCCTCAGTTATTACACTAGAAGCCTGTTGTTCTTCTGCATTTGGAGAGATAAGCTCCAACTCAACACACTTGAACAGGTTGCCCAAAGAAGTGGTAAATGCTCCATCCCTGCCAGTGTTCAAGGCCAGGTTGGATGGGGTTGATGGTCTAGTGGAAGGTGTCCCTGCCCGTGGCAGGGGGTTGGAACTGGATGAGCTTTAAGGTCCCTTCAACCCAAACCATTCTATGATTTCTAAATTCTGTTCTGAAGTAACAAGTTTCGGTGTTGTACAGTGCTTTGTAAGGATTTTCCTAGCTCTTTATTGGTCTGTCACCACATTTGTCACTGTTTGGTTCAATTGTCATCCCGTGGTGCGTTAAGAAACAAGAATGAATTTGACCATTTGCCACGACACCTGGCAAGTAGATTAGTACTTGCAGCAAGAAGAAGCAGGGTAGTTTAAATGAAAGGGGACAAGAAACATGACGAAGAGAAAGACAGACATACAGAGGAAAGGGAGGTAAGGATAGCAGATCTTAAGGCAGGTAGGATTTCATCATTTGGACGTGGAAATTTATCTGTCTTATGTGTAGGAGATAACATGCGTGGTTTCTCTACTATAGTAAAGCTAGCAACATACAGTTACTCATGGCAGTTGCATCTTTAACACTGGCCTTTAGAACCCCATGTTTGTTACCACGTTGCATTTGGTTACAGTGGGAGCTGTAATAATCCCAGCTATAGCTGTGTGGTTATACCTGCCAGGCAATTTTTCTTTTAATCTCTATGTGCAGCTCATCCGTATCAGCCAGAAGCTTCGCCCTGCGTTACCTCCCTGCCCAACCAAAATCACTTGCTTTGAAATCATCGTTAAATAAGTTAAAACTGCCTCTTTGTAGCATGCAGGAAATGCTGCATGCAGAGAACTTGGGCTGTGTAAGCTGAGGGCAGCACAGTGCCAGGGGACCACCAGCATGAGACCTGCTTGACTGGAGCAGAATCTATTGGTCTTCATATTAAGGAGCACACACACACAATGTATTACTGATTGTTTAACTGCAGTGCTGTGGTGTGGTAGTAACTATAGATACTCTCTTTTCCTTTCCTTCCCCTCTTAGATTTCTTTGAGATCCCTTTGCCCATACTAAAAATAGTGATACAAGGCTGAATTTTTTATTTCCCTATCCCACAAAAAGAGATGGATGGCACCTTCTGTTCCTCATTAGCAATAAGCAAAGGCTGTACAAAGTTGGGATAGGAGGAGTTTAGAGCAATGGGAGGATGCTTCTCTGCTCTCTCAATCCGTTTACCCCCGTAGATCACTGCCAGTGAGAGCAAACAACTGCTTGGCATATTGTATCCTGTACAAACATTGATGGAATGCAGGCATCCTGGTGTGTTCTAAGTGCTGAATTAGTGATCTTTGTATTACAGCTGAAAGATTGCATATCTAAACAGCAGCTCATCCATAATTTATAGTACATAAACCAGCTAGGGATATAGGGAAAAGGAGGATTTCATTAAATACACATTATGGTGCACCTCAGAGGAAGCAGAAATTTACTGGTTAAGCTCATTATAAGATCCACAGTGCATTGACAGTGGGTTATTTGTTCTTTCTGTTTTCCTTTGATTTGTTCTGAAGAGAAGGAGGGCTCCGCATGCCTGAGGTCCAGCGCTGCCTTGGAAACCCCTGGGGCTCTGCAGGTTCTCTGTACCTTTGTAGGTTTGTCTGAAACCTTTTTGAGGAGGAATCCTGCCCTACAAGACAGTGGCAGGGCTATTTCACATGAGGGAGGCACAACACTGTAGGAAGTTGTGCCAACATCACTTCTTCCCTGTCAACAACCCTGTATCAGAAATATGTCTCATTAATAATGTGTCATGTCATAGGGAAGATGGAGCTTTTAGCTTTTATCCGTGAGCTGGGATCAGAAGGTTGTCACAAAGTCCATTGCTGGGACCTACTTGCAATGAGGCAGGCATGAAGCCCGTCAGCTGGATCCTGATGGGTAGTTTAGTGTCTTGTTTCCTTCCAGAAGAAGCCAACTGCAGCCCTACCTTCTCTGCACAGAATGGGAAAGAGCAGTCCGCTTTGAATGGAAAAGCACTTGGTGGTTTAGAAATGATGGGTCATTTTGTATTAATGTTCATCATGAGAAGATCAAACTATCTCTAAGCACTTTCCAGGTTACAAATCTTACTGTCATCTGCTGACTTTGCAGGTGTAACATTGTACTTTCACTGCAAAAGTAATCTGGATTTCAGGTCAAGACAGCCCTGTCCATAGTAATGGGGCTGCTTTTCCTCCTTCCAGAAGGATACAAGTGCTTTCCCAGCTCTCACTGTGCAATTAATGCCACACTTCAAGGCTTCAGGTGGCCAAATAATGAGTGCAAGATGAATGACAGCATTATGCTTTTGGACTTGCTTGTGTAGTGTGAGTTTGGTTGAGATGTATCTCTAGCAGAAGATTACTGTTTTTTTTTGTTTCATAATACTATTCATGCACTTGACAGACATCGAAGAAGACAGTTTTGGATGCTGGGTATATGATCAAGCCCATGCAGGCCTAAATTCAGCTGTGTTGCACTTACTGCCAGCAAACCAAGATAGGTTTTAAGACATGAAAGGGAGCAGAAGAGAGGACAGAGAAGGGCGGCCATTCTGTAATGTTCTTTTCCAAATAGTTTAGATCATGAGTTGTTCTTCCCACTTTGGTTTGGTTTATTTCACTTTAAAGATGCTATTGTAACATACTGTTGGGTATCACAAAGCTTGAAGGTCTGACTTCAACCCTGTGATGCTCAGAGCTGGGCTGCCTGACAAATCTGACTTTCTTGCTTTCTTTTTAGATGAAACCAGGGTGCATGTTATCACAGCAAGAAGCAAATAAACACAGAACACTTCAGGCTTCCTCTGTCAAGTAGGCGTCTGAGTAGGTGATACAGTGATTCTGCTGGGTGAGTGCTCTGCTGAGCACAGCTTGTAAATGAGGGTCAGCACAGGACATGAAAGGCTGTGCAGGGCACTGAGCAACCTAGAAATCAGTGAGAAAAAGGAATAATCATGTTCAGAAAGAGCATTGTCTTATAAAAAACAACCAAGAAGTGAGTTTGTGTGTGAGGCTACAGTTAGACTGGAGACCAAAATGCCAGCTCCCCTCCTTCCATTCCCCTTTATACAGGTGGGGTGCGCTAGTAGTGACTTAGAATCATGATGTCCTACAGCAGACCCAGGGATCTGGCCTTTGCAGTTGCTCAGCTGTCTCATATGTAAATAGTATGGTAATGCTGTCATAACTGGATGCTGACTGAGCTCTCGGGATCTTCACATGGAAGGTGTTACGCAACTGGGATGCACCTCCCGCGTTTGGGGTTTGGTGGGGTTTTTTCAAGAGATGTAATGGAATATTCCAGGTTAGGGAGGAGGGAAAAAGAATTGGCCATGGGGGAACATGAGAGGAATGTTAACAGCTAAAGGAATAAGGGTACCTTGTAAAGGTACTACTTAGATTACAGTCGCATTGGTACATGCGTCCTCTACTCCTAAGCACCCAGTAACTGATTTACCACAAACTTCTACACACTCATTCACATAAATACATTACATTGATTG